AACGGACCGGAGATAATGAGTAAGTTTAGCTATTTTTAGACCAATATGGACGGAACGTCAGCTTACCTCATCGGCTTCAAGAATGTTGTTGCGCTTTTTTTCTATATCTGCATACTTCTTCCAGTAGCCATAACAATAAGGATAACGTGCAAGAAAAGCATCGAACGCTTTCCGGGCAGCAAGAATATTATTCTGGAAATTTAAGTTAAAAAGATTAGCAAACAACTGAACAAAAAAAAACAAACACCTCCATGGCAAGTCATTTTCAGGCCTGGCTAGTAATGTTGCACTTGCAATTAAGAGCCATACCATAATGATTTGATAGTAAAACCTGCAGATGATGCCCGACTCTCAAAGCAACAAAGCAAGTTTAGCTTTAAGCAATTTGTTTTGGTCATATATTTGCCACTTTTGAAATTTTTTCCTGCACTGTCAGACCGGGCGTTTGAGACAAATAAGCAACTTTCACATGCTTTTTTTGGGGTTCAAGGGATAAAACCCTAAGGACCAAAACTGATTTAGCTCAGCAAAGCAGTTTTGGGGGTGTGTGTGTATATATATATATATCAATATCAGTCTCCTGCAGTCTCATATTTAGTCATTAAGGAATTAAATAACATTTGGCTGTCATACAGGCAATAGAGGGGCTCCTGATAAAAATAAACAGGTGGTGCTCAGTTTACGACCAGCTTTCTAGCGTGGATTCAAGGGATTCCCCACGTCGGAGAGCTAGTCTATGTTCCGGGAATTTTCCCCAAACAGAGTTCAGCGCTAGTGAGCTAATCTATGATTTGCTAGTGAACTGGTCTATGTTCAGGGGAAACCTCCTGTACATGCTCGCTAGTGCATCCTCACTTACTGACCAATTCTTTTTACAACCGAGTTGCAAGAACGGAACCTGGTCGGTGAGGAGTGCCTGTATATACTAAAATGTTCCATAGGCTAAAAAGAGACACTGTCCATCAAGTTAAGCCTTTCTAGTATCTGTTTTTGCGGTTGATCCAAAAGGCAAAAAAATAAAAAAAAATTCTCATTTTTAAGTGTGAAGCGCTTCTAATTTTGCAACAAATGGCAGTCAGATCTCTCCTTTGATCAAGAAGCTATTACCCCACAAACTAAAAATAATATCCCTGTAGGTTTTCTTTTTCCAAGTATTCATTCAGTTGCTGTTAAAACATCCATACAGACCAGGGTAGATAAATCTATATTTTTTTAAATCATATTTTTTACATATTTAAATATGATTTTTTTATAAATAATTGAATTTATTTTAATGAAATTTATTTGGAGAAAAAAAAAAAAAACTATCTAAAGACTGTTTTCTATTAAGATACATTATAGTTCAAATTAAATTAATCCAAGTTATCCAAGCTGTGCTAACATGCACTTATCCCACAGTAAAAAAGGTTCAGGACCTTAACCCCCTTGTTGCTCTGCAAATCTATGTACAAACAATGAATACATGAAGTGCTAAAGGTCTAGGTTTCACAATTGTTTAACGTGAAATACATCTGTACCAGGCTCTAACTGTGAGAAAGGAGAGACTATCAGTAAAACCTTGGAAGATTCCAAACCTTGGGATCTTTGTGCACATAGCTTGACATGCTTATTCCATCCCTTGAGGAGCAAAATGTCAGCAGATTATAAGAGAGACCCACTTTGGGAATATCTTAATTAAATTCCTCTACCAATAGGTAAAGGCAGGCAAAACGCAAGCAATACTACAAAGAAATGCAAGGCCCGAATGAGACATCACGAAAAGTGTTGTGATGAAAGGAACATGTTTGAAGAGGCAGGACCTTCAGGCTGATAAACGGTTTTATTTCACCATAATCTTTTTAAAAGCTGCCAATAATATATATTAGTTATTGCATGACACTGCATTTGTATACAGTTGCTCAAAAAAAGATAAGTTAGGCTGTACCGAGTGAAAGAAATAAGGAATACATAATCATAAATAAGAACCACTTTTTTTCCCCTCCAAATGAGTAAGTTAAATTACAAATGGAAATCCAAAACGAAAACAAAATACATACATCTCCAAAGTTTGTCTGTGTGAGAACAAGCAAATGCTAAAATTTTACTTTTATTGTACTTAGTTTAAAATAAATATAAAGTAAAGTGTGAATAAATAAAAAGATTATAAAAATATTTACAAACTCTATTCCACTGTAAGGGCAAAGCAGTGCATAAATTCACACTGAGTGCCTTATTTAGTCGTGGTACAAAAACTGTATAATACTGGATAGTATCGTAAAGGCAATAGAGAGTTGGGAAAGGATTAAATATAGGTAGCCCTGATCTTTATAGAAAATCAGAAAATGTGCCTTCAAGGGCACCCCTTACCCAAAAACTCTCACTGTTAGCCCACCTTTCCCAGCCCAACCAATATATAATAAGAGACAAAGCACATTGAGAGTATCTGAATAATTAATCGGCTGTGTTATCTAAATATCTCCGCAGCGGTAGTATCTACCAACTAATATATTTTCTCAGTGCCTGCTTCCAAGTATATCTGAGGCAAAAGGTAATATGTACATTTGCTAAGTATACGGTGTCACCACGATTATTCAGTGATCGTTCCCGAAACCTAACGAGATATTTCCTCTCCGTGCCTAAGCCTCAGTGTCTCAGGGGCAGAGTAAGGTTTACAGTGGAGCGATCTTATTTTTTTGGGTAGCTAAGATGTCAGTATCAACGATTCAGTATGCGGTAGTATCATACTTGACATGTATGATTTGGTAATCGTGTTACCCGAGCCCCTTTTAGCTACCCTAAAGAATACGATCTACAATTTTTATCCATCTCAAAGTGTCTATCTTCACAAATTGGCTACCCTCTTAGTTTTACTAATCTGACAGGTTATTCTAACTATTAAATCTTCACCTGGTTGCAAATATTTATTACTACAAGCAAGAATGAGATTTTATATTTTAAAATCATGACGTAAATCAAGTCTTGACTAGTGATTTAAATCAAATCCACCCTAGTACAAACATTGATATCAAACCAACTCTTCAGGCAGAGAATACCACATTCTTAATGTTTTTACAGTAAGAAAAACAAAAGAAACACCTTCCCTTTGCTTTAGACTACATCTCCTTTCTTCCAGTCTAAATATGTGACCTTGTGTTCTATTTATGACTAGATTTCCAGACAATGGTTTGTATTGGCCCCAAATATATTTGTATAATGCCAGCATAACCCCTCTGAGGCGCTGTTTTTTGCTAAACTAAGCAGATTTTCATAGAGATCACCTGATTGGCTCATGCAGCACATACCTGCTAGCCCCTCAATGCTTATTTTATTGATCTTGATATCACCCAAGGATCTACATTTTTATTTACTCCCTACAAGTGGTGTCCTAAACCAAGACCTAAACGGCTAAAAGAATACCATAGTGTTAGGAATACACAATATGGTATTCCATTAATTGCTCTCATTTGCCATGATACTTATCTTGTATTACCTTTCAATGAACCTACATAATTAAACAAAGGACTGAGGTAACATAGGAAAGAAGAGGAGTGTTACTTTAATCCACTTATCCAATCACTGCACTCTCCTTGTGCCAAGTTAACATTTCCAAAGGTTTGGATCTAAACTTGTACAAAAACAAACATAATATATCTCATTAGCTACGAACCTCTTGCTCAACATATTGCAATAAATATGTCCATGAAGTGAATTCTTCAGGATTGTCCATGACCAACTTCCAATGCTTTTCGAATTCTGTTGGAAGAGGAATTTCCATTTCTATTTTTGGAGCCACCTCAGGAAGTTCCTCAGGGGTGGTTTGCTCCGGAGATTGTTCCATCTCTGTCACTTCTAAGATGTCTTTATTGGATTGCGATCCTTCGATGTTAACGTCTGAAGACTTAGATACTGGGGTGACATCTTGTGCTGAGTCGTCTGTAGTGGAGTTCTGCATCTTGATACCAATTACCTGAGAAATGAAAACAAAAGCCATTAGTTGAGAATAAAAAGGAGGGGATGTCAGTTTGTATTTAAGTTTAGCTACCAGTGACTTTCGAGTACCATGTAATTTAGCTGAAAGGTACAATACACCAGCAACTCCTGGAATCTGAATTTCATACATACCAGCATTTTTTATGAAAAAGAAAAAACTTCCTCAGAACATTCACTTATGTTTATGTGCCCCTACAGAGCTCCTCTTGCTTTATGACCACTATTGATTTATGGAATTAGGAAATAGGAGACTCGTGCTCTCGGTCTCCCCCCCACCTCCATCTTACTGGCAGTGGTCTCGGTCGGTCGGTCTCCCCCCCCTCACAGGCAATGCTTTCGAGAGCTCTCTGTCTCCCCCACCCTTACCGGCAGTGCTCTCGGTCTCCCCGCTCCCTCCGTTACCGGCAGTGCTCTCGGTCTCCCCCCTCCCTCCCTCACCGGCAGTGCTCTCGGTCCCCCTCCCTCCCTCACCGGCAGTGCTCTCGGTCCCCCTCCCTCCCTCACCGGCAGTGCTCTCGGTCCCCCTCCCTCCCTCACCGGCAGTGCTCTCGGTCCCCCT